CAAATGTAATGTAATAGGGGGAAACAGACCTAAAAGCATCAACATAAAGAAGATGGCCATAAAGCACTAATAGATTATTTATTAGACAGGATGCGAGTATCCAGAATGAATACAACACCGCCACCCTCTGGAAAGACCTATTCACTACAATATTTCCAATGAAGAGTATATGCAATATACTGACTGTAAAAAAATAAATAAATAAATAACTGTAACTTAGAAGGCAGGCCAACCTGTATTTGTTAGAGTGCCTCAGTATGTTTATGTATATGTATTAAGATAGGGTTGTCAAATTATAAAACAAATCTGACTGAATATCAAAATATTCAGGTGTAATGACTCTGATAAGATAAGATACGATAAGATAACCTTTATTAGTCCCACACGTGGGAAATTTGTTTTGTCACAGCAGGAAATGGACAGTGCAAAGTTATATAGCAAAAATTAGAATACATTAAGAATAATATACTGTACACAACTGTACAGAATAGAATGGAATAAAATAAAATACTATATACAGTAGAATAAAATAGAATAAAATATACAATAGGATAAAAATAGAATACAAATGCTATATACAACTGAGTAAAAATACAACTTTGTCAGAAAAGAGTATTGCACTTAGTCTTATTGCACATGTGTGGGTTTGATCAGCTGCAAAAGTCTTTGTTGTGGAGTCTGACAGCAGTGGGGAGGAAAGACCTACAAAATCTCTCCGTCCCACATCGTGGGTGCCACAGCCTGCCACTGAAGGAGCAGGACAGTGTTGTCAGAGTCTCCTGCATGGGGTAGGAGATGTTGTCCAACAGGGATGAAAGCTTAGCCACCATTCTCCTGTCACTCACCACCTCCACTGGGTCCAGAGGGCATCCTAGAACAGAGCTGGCCCTGATGAGTTTAAGGAAAGAAGATTAATATTATAGTAATTTGGTGACAACTCTTTCATACATACTATTGTTATTTAATCTCAAATAGTTATTTTATATGCACTCTTTCAAAATACTTATCACAGACTATATAATATTTGAGCCATTTGTGTAAGTGATTAATTATGTCACTTGCACAAAAAGAACACAGAAATATAGAAATATCAGAGCCGAATGTAAACAAGATGCAGTGGAGATGAAAGTTCACCTAAAAACTCTAGTTTGAATCACATTGCTGGTTTGTTACAGAGCACTCAGCTGTATCTTGTTGTCTTCCTCTTTATTGTTTCTGTCTCAACTTCATCTGCTAATCACTAGGTGCTCTTCTACGCCAACATCACCGCTCCTTCTTTCCTTTCCTTTCTGCTTCTTGCTTCCTCCCTAGTTGTCAGTGTTTCCCTTGCTGCTCCTCTTTAAGTGGCTGTGATTGACAGGTGGGCTATATCCATGCAATATCACCCAGCGCACGTTCCTATTCCCTCCTGGAGCCTTCATCCGCCGGTCAAATTAACCTTTCGTGCCAACGGGAGGGGGCCCTGCGTGGGCCAATCAGCAGGTGATTAGGCCGGGGGTGGGAGGGGTTGGGGGTCACTGCGATGGGGCCATCGCAAGCCTGATTGGTTTCAATCAGCGACCAGCCGCAAGGACAGCTGGGAGCTGAGCCGCAGTGAGCGCTAATCAACGCGTCCCACAGTGAGGCATGAACAGTCACCGCGCACACATACACAAGCAGACCGATGTTGGTGTATACACACCGACAACACTTACCTCTCTGTGTGCACACATTCGCCCTGAGACAAGAAACACACACACAAATACACACAGTAAGACATGGGATGCAGAAATGAACAGTCAAGACCACAACAGATAAACAGAAAATCCCATAATGGAAAACTAGAGAAAATCGAGAGAGGGAGACAGGGAAAGAGGGGCATACTCAGAGCAGCCACAGAATCTCACAGTAAATTGAATGACTAATTGCATTGGATTCGTTAATTTGACCACTGGCACATCAGATAGGGGGCCCGTGACATTGGTTAGAAATGCTCTGTCCTACAAACCGCGACAAGAAATCTCATGTGATGTTTCAAATGTGGAACAATCCACATTCGCTCCGCTATGGCTGATGTCATGCCGATTCTTGTTCAAATATCATAAAGTACAACACTGACCAGTCACTGATCAGATTAAAAAGAAAATGTTGCAAAGAGCACATTATAGCAACTCTTTGGTGGATCAGCTCAGGTGTGTTGTTTATGACAGTTAGGCACTTCTTTGGATGGTTTCATTCAGTCGAATGTCTGAGCTACAGAAGAAAACTACACTTACAGATGTTAGGTGCATTGGCCTCCAAAGTCACCAGTAAAACATCGTTGAGATGTGGTTGAACAGGAGGTTCACATCAGCTGACAAGTCTGCAGCAACTGTATGACATTATTGTTGAATCTATGCCATGAAGACTGGAGGCAGTTTTCAAGCCATAAGGGGGTCCAACCAAGTAAGAAGGTGTACCTTAAAAAGTGTCAGGTAAAACCTACACCCAGATTCAAACAGATAATTCCTACTTTATTCAAACTATGAAACAATGTACATGTATTATATAACTGGTTCACCTGTAACTGAGTTACGTACTATTGGTTTTCAAAGTCTTATTGTGACCTGAATATAAGTAACAGGTAACAGAAAGTTATTCTATCATACATACATTAACTGGCCACTTTATAAGGCCAGTTGCTAGTTAAGACAGATATCTAATTTGCCATTCATATGGCACCAACTCTAGGCATTTAGACATGAAGACATGGTCAAGTAATACAAAAAACAAACAGACAAATGAGAAAACACCCACGAATATTTCTGAAAATGTAGTGTTTTTTTGTTTTGTTTTTGTTTTTTCTTTAATTTCAAATATTGTATAACAAGACAAAACAGCAAATGTGAATGTAATTTTTTTTTCACTCTTAATAACTGAAGCCTTTCATTGAAATACTAAATAAACAAACTGGTACTCTCTTTCTGGCCAGATACGTGGAAACACTTCTGCTATGATTTTGTTTGTATTTAACAAAATAAAAATGCAAACACAAATGTATGCATTAGTTTTTGACTACGAGTGAAAATTGTTTTCTTTACAAATAACTTAAAGAACTTATTTTAACATTCCATTCAACAACAAACAAATCCTCCCTAGAAAAAATTGCATTATATTTCTTCACATCAATATACAGGCCGCAAGTAGGGGGAAGTGGGCCACAAGTGGCACCCAGGCCACAAGTTTGAGACCCCTGGTCTAGTACAACTAGACCAAGTATTAGCACCTTGCAGCTAATGAAGTGAGTTTAGTTCTTAGAGAGTCTCTTTTCCTTCAGATGCATTTACAAAAATATAACAGAAGAAGACATGATCAAATTCAGTTAAAATATGTAACAAATCTGTGATGGTAAATATTGAAAGTCATAATGTAAAGAAAGATGCTTTCAATATTTCAGATGTTTTAGTTAAAAAAAAGAAAAACATCTTTTTAAAAATGATCTTTTACTGTATTGTACTCTTTTCACCTTTAACCCCCGACTAGTCAATTATTATGTGAATACTGGCCACTAAAAGGCCATCATCTAATTGAATGAATGTGGCTACACTAATTTAATAAATGTGTGAAGTCATCATATTGACAAAATCTGTCCAGACTAACAACATGAAATCAACAGCAACTATGTTACCTCAGCTGCTAGCATGTTGATGTTCTGGAGTCGCACAAAGCTGGATTTAAGGAATAACTGTTTAAATTAAAGTTTTGAGAACATCTTTTAATGCCATCTTGTCCAAATACATAACATGACGTCGTTGGGTTGGATGCTGCTAATAGACTTACATTAGTTAAGTTTAGCTAACTAGTGAACGAATCAGTGACTCAGTGAAAAATAAGGAAACTAAATAAAAAGTAGTGTAAAGGAGATCATTTTTGTGCTGATCAGGCTGCCACAGTGAGTCGTTATGTTAAAAAAAAGCCAAGGATATGCTGTCCACTTTGTCCATTTTTACTCTCTGACTGTTAAGCAGTAAGTGGTTCCTCGTTGTTTGGCTAACTGCACTGAAACAGTAAAATCCACCTGTTAGCCACCATGTTCAGGCTTGTAAAGCACTTTATAAATGAGGACAGTGTGCAGGAGAGCCTGTTTGAGTCAGATTTCCTGGTAATTCAAGAGAACGACAAGCTGGAGACAGACACAGAGTATTCCTCCTTGGGCCAGGTATAAGAGCAGCAGAATCAATTGATGAGGCATTGTTACATATTATAATAATGGTCTCTTACACAAGGACATTCAAACAGTTTACTATATGTGCATCACAAAACAAACATGACTCAATTTCTTACTGAAACATGGTTGGGAATCCTTGCAACAAAAGAAAAAAGAAAAAGAAAAGAAACAAGGAGTCTCTGAGGAAGAGATGCAGTTAGTTTTGGAGATCTTTTTCTCTCTCACATCATCTCACTAAGTGGATTGTTTCATATTAGAAGTCAGGAAAATCAAATGTAAGTGAAGAAGAAGGATTTTTTTTCCTATGGAGATGCTGATGGATGTTTTCAATTATAAAGTGTTTTAAAAACCTGAACATTACAGCTAACAGGTGGATTTTCTTTCTTTCTATTTTTTTTTTTTTTTACATAAAACTGCCTGCTGCAGCCAGGGGCAGAACAAAAGTGATCCCCTTAGACTGTGTTTTAGTTTTAGTCTCCTTAATTTTCACGAAACTATTGGTTCTGTCACTAGTTAGCTAACATAAATTAACTCATTCACTGCCAGCCATTGGCAGTGAATGAGTTAAACCCATTGACTCATTCACTGCCATTGACGGCTATAGACGTCAATGGCAGTGAATGAGCTAATGTAAGTCTATTAGCTGCAACCAACCAACCAACCTGGATGATGTCACATTTTTTACTGGCACAAGATGGCGATAAAGATGTTCAACAACTTGATAAACGACTTTAAAGACTTAAAAATGCATAGACTCTAATATTTAGTCCCCTTTACACTCCAATTGTTTGAATACCTTTTTAACTATTGTGAATCATTTGATTAGTGATGGTGGTAAGCTATTGTATCTCTGTAGGGTCTTCTTAGTGGATTTCAGGTTGTTTTCAAGGACATTATTCCATGAGTTTGAGACTGGAAAGAGAGAGTTTGAGGAAACACAGGGCGGTGTGACTGAATTCCAGTTATCCTGTGACTCAACTGATGCAGATAAAGTAGGGTTTTCAACTCTGTTGGATGACAGCTCATCCTCACTGCCTTTGTGATCCATGGAATAATTCCTAATATTGCAACGGAACGCTTTCTCTGTGTTTGCTTCCTTCTTACACAAAATTATGTAGCACTTTGTGAAAAATTGACAAAACAAGATGCCGTAGCATGAGATGAGGATAACGATCATCTCCACTGCTGGAAGATATTTGCCTGTGACATTGACATAGACTGGGCCAAACATGATCCAGGAGATGAAGTAAATGAGCATTGCAAAAGTGATGAACTTTGCATCATTGTAACTGTCAGGCAACTTTCGTCCCTTAAAAGCAACACCAAAGCAGATGAGAGCCAACAGGCCAATATAGACTAGCATGGCTCCAAATGCAGGAATTAGTTTCTCATTACAAAACATCAGTTTCATGTTGTCCTGTGTGATCTCTGAGTCAATGTATGGAGGACCGTGTACAAGCCACATGGTGACAATAACCACTTGACCTGCCATGCAGACTGCAATAATGAGGTAAGGCTTGTAGAGCTTCTTCAGCACACTTTGAATGACCGGGTCAAACTCAAAGGCTAAGACGATCTTAAAGGACTTGACCATGATGCAGGAGACACATAAGGTAAAACTTAAGCCAAACACCACCTGCCGTGCTTGACACTGATAGCTATTGGGTGGACCACCAAATAATATAACACTAGTAAATGTGATCATAAGGGAAAGGAGGAGATGGATGCTGATTGGGCCAACAGATGAGCGCACAACAGGGGTATTCCAGTGTGCAAGGAAGATGATCCCAACAACAATGGTAAGCACTGCTCCTAAAGAAGTAAAAGACAGCAGCACAATAAGATATACATCACCCCATTTCAGAAAATCAGTTTTTCTGGGTAAACACACTGAACTGGTGTTTTTGGAGTAATAGTTTTCTTTGCAAGGATGGCATGTCTCCGAATCTGGAAACAGAGGACAAAAGGTCATTAGAATATTTAACTTGGATTCAAATTCCTTGAGCTGTCAATGCAACAGACTGTGTAATATAAGCATTTCAAAACACTTGTTTTCATAATATTTTGCAGTTTGCAACACAAATGGAGTTAGGAGTTGTTTTTGTAATACACACCATTGGAGTTGGAATATTGGTTCTCAGCACAGGGTTCACACTGATAGCAGCAACCAGGCTGGCCTGTAACTGAAGTCTTCCTGTAGCCAGGCCTACAGCTGTCTGTGCACCTGGAAGTCACATTTCCCTTAGAGAGGAAAGAATCACCATCATGGCCGTCAATTTTATTTACTGACCATATGAAATCATACCCCACCCCACCCCCACCCTTTTATTTTTAAATCAGTGTGGCATATACCATCTGTTGTTAGACACAAGGGTTTGCACGTTTTTACACACTAACATATACATTATCAACAGAAAAAGAGACTAAAGTCTCAATGATGGCAGTTTTTGCCATGTGCAAACTCTTAAGTTAGCATGTTAGCATATCAATATTTGCTATTATAATGGAACCCAGTACCAATGGTAAAAGAATAGTGTAATAAAAGAGTTAAAGAGTAAAATAACTTGCCTGTGAAAGGTAAACACTTACTATGTGTCTCTGAAGAGCCTGTTGTGTTTCCTGTGAGGTGAAAGTCAGATTCTGGTGTTCTATACTGTAATAGGCTAAAATGTTGTTCACATCTAGAGAATCTTGAGTCTGCTTCCACAGGATGATATCATATCCAGAGTTGAGGTCACCATGGTGATCAAATGAATAACTTTTTTCCTCCATGTAGAACGTTGCCTTCCGTAAGGCTCTTCGTAGCTGAAGTTTTGAAAACACAAATTAAAAATAATTTACCTGTAGCGGTTAGAAAAATGAACATTTATAGAGGATTGTGTTTCTGGCCACTTGTTCAATATCTAGTACAATACATATACACAAAAATATACAGTGGGTAAAATAAGTATTGAACATGTAACTAGTTTACAAATTAAATATATTTCTAAAGGTGCTATTTGCATGGAATTCTCACCAGATGTAACAACTCATCCAATCAACACGTGCAAAGAAATGAAATCTAGTGCTCTAATCGGGGGCTACAGTACTATAAAGTCATTACGACAAGATGCGACCTGATTATTCAAGAATGTGAATTCAGTTCTGGATTTAACATATATACAGAAAGACAGAAATATGGTCTCTCTTTCTGTTCCTGTTAGTACTCTTGCTTTGGCATTTTGGATCAACTAAAGACTTTTCAGGTAGTTTGTTTGGAAATCCTGCCTAGAAGCAATAAATGCATAAACTAGTTTTTCAGCTTCAGTCTGAAACAGGATATTTCTAATTTTAGCGATATTGTACAAATGGAAGAAAGCAGTACTACATATTTGTTTAATATTCACATTGAAGGTAATATCATGGTCAAAAATGACTCAAAGAATCCTCACAGTGTTACTGGTGGCCAAGGTAATGCCATCCAGAGTAAGCATCTGGTTAGGTACAATATTTCAATGCCATTTCTTTTTTTTATGGCTGAGTACAATAACCTAAGTTTTATCTGAATTTAGAAGCAGAAAATGAGAACTCATTTAGGTCCTCGTGTCTTTCCTGGCATTCCTGCAGTTTAACTAATAGGTGTGTGTTATCTGACTTCATGGATAGATAAAGTTGGGTGTCATCTGCATAGCATTGAAAATGTATGCTATGCCTTCTAATGATACTGTCTAAGAGAAGCATGTATAATGTAAACAAAATTGGTCTTAGCATGGAGCCCTGTGGAACTCCATAATTAAGCTTAGTGTGTGAAGAGGACTTTCCATTTAGATGAACATAATGGACTCTATTAGATTAGAAAGATATGATTCAAACCACTGCAGCACAGCATCTTCAATATCTACAGCATGCTTCAATTGCTGCAATAAAATATTATGGACAGCAGTATGAGATGCTGCACTGAGGTGTAGCAAAACAATCACAGAAATGGCTCCACTGTCAGAGGCCATAAGAAGATCATTTGTAACCTTCACTAAAGCTGTTTCTATACTATGATGAGCTCTGAAACCTGTCTGAAACTCTTCAAACAAACCAATTCTCTGCAGAAGATCTTTCGGCTGTTTTACAAATACTCTTTATAGAAATAAAAGGAAGGCTGGAGATTGACCTATAATTAGCTAAGACAGCTGGGTCACATGATGGCTTTTTAAGTAACAATTTGAAGGCCTGTGGTACATAGCCGATTAATAATTGATCATGTTTAAGAATAAACATTAACAGTAGTACTTCTTTGGGCACTCTTGAAATGGGGACAAGTTGATGGCTTGGAGAAAATAATTACAGAGGTTTCAGAAAAAAAAGGTGCTAAAATGACCTGACCTGAATCCAGTTGAAAATCAATGGAAAGAACTAAAGCTCAGAGTTCACTGAACCTCCAGGATTTAACTGGTGTGGAAGAATGGGCCAAAATCTCACCTGAGCAATGCATGCGACTAGACTCCATACAAACTGTCATCACCGATGAAGGCTTTTGTACGAAGTATTAAAGAAATCTCAGTAAGCGTGTTCAATATTTTATTCCTGTGTCATTTCTCATTATTACACATAAGTTAATTCATGGAATTGGATTATGAATTATGGAAAGAATTTCATGTCTATAGCACCTATAGAATTATATATTTAGAATATAGTTAGAAGATTGGTGATGTTTTCAATACTAATGGGTAAGTCAGGTCCTCTGTGAGACCTGACACGCCTCTGTGGATCATTTATGTGCTTCAGTATTAATAGAAAATAATGAATATAGTTTCTTAGTATTGAAAGATTTTCTAATATGCTGTGCTGTATGTGTTTCTGTGTTTCTGTGCTTTTACCTCCAATGGCTGTAAGGGCTGTCTTTTACAGTTCCGGTTAGTACAGAGGTCTTTAACAGCTTGAGCTATTGCTTTAACTGCCAGCTCAATACTGAACACAGCATATGGATATATCAACTTCTTTAACTCTTCTGATGAATTCGTCCCATGCTCATTTAAAAAATTAGACAAAAATGTGTTGTTCTCGTGGTGGTTGGGATTTTCATCAAGGTCATCGAGATATCGCTCAAACTTGGTTGTGTTTCCAGATTTAAGAGTGATCCCAAAGATTGTTCCTATGTCACTCAATTTGTAGTTCTGAGAACTCAGTACTTCAGGTGACTGTGACCAAATATCACTGGCCAACCAAAGTTTCCCTCTGGCTTGAGGATATTTGAGAAGTTTCCCAAAAATATCTATCATACAGTAAGCTTTGACAAAGGAAATAATAACACTAACATTTCTATTATCTATGATGCTTTTGATTGTAGAGTTAATTCTCTCTTCAAGCAATTCATCATTTAAAGCATCTGGAAGAACAGAGACAAAGGCGAAGCAGATGCCTTTTTTGGTTGCATGATGCCAGAGGCGTTCAGTTATATAGCGACCGTATTCACTATCAGTTGCTACCACACCGACCCAAGTCCAACCGTAATGATCAAGAATCTGGGCAATGGCACGAGCTTGGTGATCATCTTGTGGTACGGTCCTCATAAAGCTTGGAAAACGGGTTTTATCACTCAGGAAACCAGAAGTTGCACCGTAACTTATCTGTGGAAAATATCACAAAACATTATGAAGTGAAACAAACATTTCATATTCTGTCTGTACACATATATCATTCATTTTTAGACTAAGTGTGTCTGTTTCACCTATTTTCAATTCTTGTTGCTAAGCTATACTATTTGCGTTTTTGTTGTCTTTTTTTGCTGTTCATCATATCCATGAATGCAAAATGTATCATCCAAATATTAGCTGCTAATGTTTGTACAATTGATTTTACATTTAGGGTTAGGTAACATAACCTCAGAAGTCGGTCATACCTCAGGGATGTACTCCAGATGGAGCTGACCTGTAACGCTTATGGATATCTCTGAGTAGTAATCACCAATGACAACTAGGACAGGTGGAGAGGATTGCTGTGCACAAGCTTGGCGATTATTACCTACAAATGAATTAACTGATACTATTACCTTCATTTAAACTGATACACACACAGTGTTGAGGACTAACGGAATACATGTACTGGTGTTACATATTTAAAATACAAAATATGAGTAACTGTATTCAGTTACAGTTACTGCTCAAATAAGTCATAATTAAAATACAGCTACTTTGTTGAAATACATGATTGCACGGCGGTCTTTTCTGTTTCATATGTTAGGCTATCCCTTCTCTAATTTTGGTAATTCCACATATTGCCGGAAATCCAAAAAAAACACGCAACAAGAGACTCTAATGTAAGCGTCTTGTTAATTTTGGTGGCGTCAGTTACACAATGAACCCAGAGCCAACACAACAGAGCCAGCAGTGCACAGGCAGGGATGGATTTCTTACTTGGAAATTCCAACACCACTTCACAAAGAAAGGAATGGATGTAATCTGAGAGTGCAATGCAAACTCTGTCTGCCAGCAACCAAGCTGCTCTCAGTATGAAAATACTCCAACCTAAAGAAACACCTGGAAGTAAGTTCTTTTTAAAAAACTAACATTACCCTACTGCAACTACCTTGTCATAGTTGTGGTAGCTACCTGGGTTATGTGCCACTTCAGTATCTTCGATGTACTATTGCTGTGTGATTTATTACTATTACTGAAGGCTGGATTACAGGCTGCATGACAACCTGCAGAAAGAAAACATTTTACTGATACAGACATTGTTTTCTATATCAGATCACTGCAAGAAGTGCTGTCTTACCTAATGTCCACCCTACTGTTACTAATTTTATATTAAGATTTCAAAATCTAGTTGGTATTGCTTTCAGAACTGCACATGATTATTTGCAGCTAGCAGGTTGTTAATACTATCCATCAAGTCTAATAGTCTGCGGTCTCTGAACTAACCTCAGCTAACGCCAGCTAACAAGCTAAAAAGCATGACAATATATCAAGTAATCCAAAGTATTCCAAATACATTATTCACATTGAGTAACTTAAGAGAATACACAGACAAAGAATGTATAAATCTTTACTTTTGTTAAAAGTAATTTAGAACAACACTTAATTACAAGCCAGAGAAAGTAATTTGCTACACTATTCGTTACACTACTACATTACTTCCTGCTGATTCTGTAAAATTACCTGAAATGCACGGTCTCATAATTACCAGTTACCAATATAAATATAAATATACAACTTTTAAGAAAATGTTCACAAATGCCTAATTTAGTATCCATTATCTCTCTTAGTTGATGTGCTATGTTCCCATGATGATCTCCAAAGAAAATTCAATTAGTAAGAACTATTGCGTGTCAAAAATGATTCTCAAATAACAAGGCAGATTTCTATCCCCGAGAGAACTCACTGTTTCTCATCATGAAGGCCTGGGTTTGTATCAGGGCAGTAGTAACGTCCCCACAGGAGTCAAGTATGAGGTATCCCAAGGTGAGGTTTCCCAACTCTCGCTCCTGATTTATCTCCTCCAGTGCGTGCACCATTATCAGAGAGTGGACCAGACGAGCTGTGCTAAATCTGTACAACACAATCAGATATATTATATATAAATATACCCTAATAAAATGTGTACAATGATCAGTTGTGTATGTGTATTACCTGTCACATGTCCGGTTTTCACGGCCATCATCATTCACAGTAACAGTAACGCTTTCATGAATCGGGAACAATCCTCCGATAATGATGTCACCGTCTGCTGTGGCTTCATTGGAGCATTTTGTACCAGAAAAGTGATGTGATAAAACTGCAAGAAAGATGCTGAAAGAATTTTTCATCTTCCCCGTGTGCTTCTTATGAGTGTAAATCAGTGAATCTTCAAAAACTTGCTCTGAAAAATAATTTGTGTGTATCTCTTCAGCATTCCTGCAAAAGACAGAGGTGTGGTTAAAGTTCTTGAACTTGAAATACTATCAGTTCTTTCATTTTTTTTCTTTTCTTTTCTTTTTTTGGTCACATGGGGTTCGATGTCACTGAGAAATGGGATGTCCTTTTACTTTCCATTTACTTTACTTTTCCTGGTAATTATTTTTGACAGGTTTCACAGTTGTGAGCTATAAAAAACAAGTGATTTATAAATTATTCGGACTATAGCAGCTGTAGTTTTGTTACACAACATATATCCACTTTGACAACTCTGGTTACAATTGAGTCGAAGCATTATCAGTGGTTGTACTGCTATGTAATACTGACATATTATGCATCTGATACTTAGCAAGACAATACCAGGTATTTTCCCAGGAGGATTAAAAATAATTCTATAGCAGTCAAAGGAAGCAAAAAGGCTCTGATATATTAGCCGCCATGTATGTCTGCAAATCAAGAGTTTTCTTACTTGTTTACATGCCCTGCCTGGTGTCTGTTGGCTGCTTTTCTGACTTTGTTGTCCCCACAAAACATTTGAGATTTTTATTATATTATTACAAGTAAAACTTTGTTATATAAAGTAATGTCAAATTCATATGGGTTTTTTTTTATTTCTTTACTTAACTACATTGATTTGACAGCTGTTGTTGGTTTGAATTAGAGAATGTATAATTTTGTGCTTACACATCAATTGCCTTCCACTTTTCTTCAGGGACACCTGAGCGAGAGCCCATCCCAGCTGACATGGAGCAAGAGGCAGGGTAGAACCTGTACAGGTCACCAGGCTGTTGTAGTTCTAACCCAGAAAGGTGGACAGCTGTTCATGCTCACAATTACACCTTTGCCCAATTCAGAATCACCAATTAATCTTCCCCCATACATATCACTGGATTGAAGCCATGCAAACACATGGATGACATGCAAATTTTACACAGAAAGGCCCCAGCCTGGATTCAAACCCTGGACTTTCTTGATGTGAGACAGCAATGCCAACCACTGTTCCACCATGCCACCCCATTAAAAAGTTTCACACAATAATTCCTCAGCATTATTATGTCATATTTGTACACATATATGTACAAATATATCTTAACACTCCTAAATGGCAAAAAGGTGTCACCCACTTGCATTTACGATTAGTCACTGTAGCCTCAGTTTACTGCTCTTTGTTGACTTCTACTTCTGTCTTCAACTGTAGTTCTGAGGTACTTGTGCTACATTTGAAATTTTTATTACTTCACAATGCTACTGCGCTATTGTATATTTTAGAGGGCAATGCTTTTTTTTAAAAATGCTAAATTTCTTAGAAACACAGAACTACTTCATTAAATACAACAAAAATATATCTGTAGTAAAAAAAAAAAAAGAGGAAGAATTTGGGCAATATCACGAAGTCATTGAATGCACATGTTTGATACTGTATAGGAAATAAAGATTCTGATGGTAGAACTTATACTACATAATCCAAGACTTTTTTCTTTATTAAGTAGCCTATACACAATCTCACCATACATAAAACTGAATGCATTTAAGTAAAGGTTCACATTGTATAAGACGTTCAGTGGGAAAGACTTTGAGTGGAATTGTACAACAGCGAGAATAACTTTGGTTTAAAGAAAAAAAACTGAGGCAAGGTGGCCACAGGGAATTATGGAAAATCATAATATTGTTTGAAATGATAAAAGTCATAATTTGCTTTTCAAAATTGTGAAATCAAAGTAATTTTTTTAATGAGACAAGAAACCACATTACGCAACTGACACACAGTAAAGTGGAAGTTAAACAGAAGCATGACGCTATCAGTCACATTCATAGATCTATTCAGTGAACTGAACACTAGTTTCACTACACATTTCTTAGAAAGCCTGGATAATTATGACAATATCATGACTCTAGAACAAAATCACAATTATTTTCATATAACCAAATATCTCGGTGCCAATTACACAAGTAAAGAAGGAAATTGAGGAAACTTGGAAAAAAAATAATGCAACCAGATGCAAAGTCTTTATTGGTTTCTTTCAACTAAGAGATGATGCACTGTACTATGCAGAGACCAGATTCAGGAGTAGATAATTCTTAAGTAAAGCTCAGTTTTAGATTAATATTCAGCTCTATCAATGTGTTTATTCTAATAAACCATATGTTATTAATTTATTTTACTAACGTGGGCAGCCTTGGTCTTCATAAACTGACAATCTGTTGTTGATCTGGTAATTACATTACCTCTGCACCATTTAACCATAACATATACTCAGATTTATTATATGTATTTAAACATGACATCATCTCTAAAAGGGATTGCTGTACTTATTTGCAAATTGATTTACTTTCCCATTAGGTATTTCGTCTCACCACATCAAAATGAAAACAGTGCAACACATGTTTGCACAACGCTGACAATCAAAGCACTTGATGTACACCCAGCTGATACCCCTGTATTAAAAATAAAACAGAATTATAACAGACTGTCAATTTAAATCTGTTTGCTTGTCGTAATGTTGGAGTTGTGCTACGTCTTTCACAAACAAAATGTTAGCATGCTAAAAGGTAGCCAACAAGTAGCCCTGAATATAGCGTGCAACAATGGCTACGTTCACACTGCAGGTTTTAATGCTCAATTCCGAATTTTTGATCAAATCCGATTTTTTTGTGCGCTTGTTCACACTACAAATAAAATGTGACAGCAAACGTGCTCTAGTATGAACGCTCAAAGCGGCCCCCAAAAGAAGAAGACGCAAAAGGAGACGTCACACACAACGCGCTCTGTTTAGACCCAGACCAAACAGTATTGTTTGACTGATTGACATTAATATAAAGACTTGTTTCGGACTTTACGTTTTCCAATTTAGCTCTAAGTTACTTTGTCATTTAGATATGGCCTAATAATTATCTTTATTGCTGTTTTAGAGAGGAGCGGTGCTTCAAAGGATAGTCGCAGATTTCTGTCAGAATCTGCAGATTATACAGTACAAATGAAATGTTCACGTTTCTCCAACGTTGTCTTCCAAACAGTTTCACTGGATGGCCAGCAAGCGTTCGCAATGTCTTCTCCAGTGCTGATAATTGGCGTCTGTCTTGTGTCAGTGACGTAGAAGACGGATTTAATGCGACATGACCATTCAAACAGCAGTCGCTTTCTAAAACATCAGATATGTATCGGATTCAGTACCACGTACGAAAGTGACCCAGATCGGATTTGTGCTTTTCACACTGTCAAACCATGATCGGATATGGGTCGCATAGGGTCAAAAAAGTCAGATTTGATGCACTTTCGCCAGCAGTGTGAACGTAGCCTAAGTCTAATGGTACTACCTTTAATTTTAAGTGGGATGGATCATTCACAAAATTATTGATGATAATCCTTTATCATCCGCAACTGATTATTGACATGTAACCTTTGTTGGCACAAGAGTCAAGTGATTGCTATCTATCATCAGCTATTTCTGAAAACAATACAATCATGAGAGTCTAACCAAATGCTATGGGGATGATCAGAGCAGCTGTCAAGAGATTTAACTAAGGATGGCATATTACAGTCTCAGCAAAACAATAGAGTAGCATGCAGCAAATCACCAGAGTTGGTGAAATTCAGCCCCCTTTTTTTTCCAAGTCAGTCCAATATTGATGACGAATCCTGCTAACATGGACTATAGATAACCTGAAAATAATAACCATGAATGAAAATTGGAAAAATCAAATAACTTGCCAGTGGAGGGAAATACTTACTATCTGACCGCTGAGAGCATGTCTTGTTTCCTGTGAGGTAAAAGACAGGCTCTCTTGCTCTATACTGTAATGAGCTACGATGTCGCGCACAGCCAAAAAATCTTGTATCTGCCTCCATAGGATGATATCATATCCAGAGTTGAGGTCGCCATGCTGATCAAATGAATAGTCTTTTCCATTCATATGGAATGTTGCCTTCCATAAGGCTTGTCATAGCTGAAATTGCACAATGTGGAAAAAAAAATATTAAAATAATATACCGGTACCTAAAGCAGGCATGACAAGCGTTTTAGCAAATAAGATTTTGAATATAGGATGTGTTTCTGGCCATTTGATGAATAGAAGAACAACATCTACTCTACTTTTAGCTCTTTTCTGGGTTTCTGCCAAGTCTTAGCATTTATATGCTTCATTATTAATAGGAAACATAATTAGATAGTGTTAAAGGATTTTCTGTCAAGCTATTTTGTGTATTTATGTTTGCTTTTGTGTGCTTTTACCTCCAACAGTTCCGGTTAGTACAGAGGACTTTAACAGCTTGATCTATTACTTAAACTGCCAGCTCAATACTGAACATTGCATATGGGAATATCATAATTTTTTTCAAGAATTCCTCAGTCAGAACATGGTATATTATGTTAAGGTGGAAATTAGCAAGGTAACTCCCTGCTAACTTCTAACTCTGTTTAACTTGATAAATTCTATTTTCATGGATGCCTGGATGCTAAACTTAATTGTTACACCTGGTAGAACCTCCACACTGATAATTCTATTAAAGATAAAAGAATTTAGACAGTTTTTAACTCTCAGTAATGTTGTAGTGTTTGTTTGACTTTGGAGCCAGTGATGTCAGACCTAAAGATTGGATAGTATGAGGAGCTTAGATATCTGAAAGGCACTATCAATTCTCAAGGATTTTAAAGAAATATACTGTATGCCTCTATCCAGTGTCATGATCCTGGACTCTTTCATTTTGTTGACATTTGAAATTCTTCTTTATTATTTAATATTCCCTTTGGTTCTTAGTAGAGATGGACCAATCTGATATTACGTATCGGTATCGGTCCGATACTGACCTAAATTACTGGATCGGATATTGGAGAGAAATAAAAAAATGTAATCTGATCCATTAAATATCAAAAAAGCACCTCACAAAACTTGCCACATGGCATAACTCGGTTCATAACCGTAGGCGGCTGTGGCGTGTGAGACCTGTCTGCGGTCTGGTTGAGTATTTGGAGCCTCGCTACCAAACTGGCATTTCATCTCCGAGAAGGTTATCCCAGAGAGAAGTAAAGCAAGTGTGTAAGTTCATCTCTGAATGTTTGTAAAGCATTCCAGCGTTAAGCTTAACAACCGATATATGGAGCGACTGCCTCTCTCTCTCTCTCCGTCTCCTGCTGCTACTTCAATCATGAAACTGATCAATGATCAGCTGATCGGCTTTTCTGTCACGAGTCTGTCTCTGTTGTTTGTTTATCGCCCACTTCGCGCCAGAAAAAGGAAACCAGCGGCTGAACAACAGCAGCATCATGTGGTGGGGGGTGGTTCCCTATTTTTTTTTGCTGGGAGTTTCCAACCCTATTAGTTAGGTTGCTTACTCTTTAAAATACCAGAATAGGGAGGATGGAGTAGGTTTAAGTTTATTAGATTGATCAGTATTGCTGAACTATGAAATATTTTGGGTGCAGTGTATTTCTTGCATACAGGTATAACAGAATAGCTTTAGTGTTTGTTTGTTTTTTAAATTTGAGTATGAACTTATACAAAATGCAGCAAGATATTAAAAAAACAGTTTTATTGATTAAAAAACACACTATATCGGATTCATATCAGTATCAGCCGATATCCAAATTTATGATATCGGTATCGGACATAAATAAGTGGTATCGTGCCATTTCTAGTTCTTAGTTTGATTGTTCATGGTTATTTAATCGAGACTTTACTAAGAAACTTTTTTCAAGAAACTGTTTCAGTTCATGCTGATTTCAGTTAGCATTCTGCTTTAGGTTATCTGGTTTAGTATCTTATTCTTGTTAGCCTTTCCCATCTGTGTCAAGTTCATTGTGTTAATTTACTCCCTGTTTTGCCTTGATAGTCTTTTTCACTGAAGCTTTAGTTCTGTTTCCATTGTCATGTCCTCTGTGATTAGTTTTTAGATTACCTGTGTTCTGCACCAGTTTCCACTTACCTCATTACTTTTTAAATTTATTGTCTCTGGTTTATGTTGTTCTCTTTGAGTTCAGTTTCTGCCTTCTAGGAATGAGATAACATTCCTCTTCCAACATTCCAGGTCTCTGTCTGGTCAAATGTCTGGTCTCTATAACTCCCAGACATTTGCAGGATGTTGTTTCATGAAGTGTGGAAGAATAGTGCTACGCAGGGGCAAACATGGCTTTGTCCTATCTTTTCTGAGACATGTTGATGTCATTAAATTCTAAATGGCACAATTTTCTGGGTATAAATGTACTCAGTTCCATTCCTACTGGCCTTAAAGGCTGGGCAAATGCATAACTCGTCATTGCTTCTGCAAGTGACAGACAATGGTGCCTGTAATCAGAGCTGCACACCTGTGGTGAGTGAAGTTATAATTACTCTATAATTACTGTTTGTGTCTTTGTTTTTCAACATGCCAGAAGATGTAAGCCAATACGCCTTGGTGTGTTTGTAATGTCTTTAGCCTTTCATTACTTTTTCAAACGTACTTTGAGTTTCATTTTCTTTCCTGCTAAAGCTTTGTTCTGAACCATTTACCCAAGCATGGATAATGTGCATTAATATCTTGCAAAACCAGATGAAGCATTTCTTTCAGGCCACCAGCTCACGGGTCATGACTCAGACATGTAACATGTTTTTTTTTTGTTCTTCTAGATTATGGTAAATGGTAAATGGCCTGTACTTGTATAGCGCTTTACTAGTCCCTAAGGACCCCAACGCGCCTTACACATCCAGACATCCACCCATTCACACACACATTCACACACTGGTGATGGCAAGCTACATTGTAGCCACAGCTGCCCTGGGGCGCACTGACAGAGACTTATATTATTTGGATTATACTAAATAATATAAGTTCCTATTCAGTGTGTCAGTGTAAAGACATATTTCCAGTTGCCTTTTGAATACCCAATAGTACTATTATATGTCACAGTTCTTAAGCAGAGCCACAGCAGCTTGTTTCATAATGATTTTTCCCTTTATTTTATATTTTATATAATTTATTAAAATGTGAATTGTGTTTAAGCTAGCTAACTACCCAAAGTAAATGTGTTTTATTTTCACACTTTTGCACAAGTGCCCATTTTTGTATCCATTACATATCTTACAATTAATATGCTATGTTCCCGAGTGATCCCAAAAATGTAATTAATAAGGTCTACTGTATATAACAAGAGACATTTCTCATCTTGAGTACTCACAGTAATTCCTTGTGAAGGCCTTGGTTTGTATCAGGGCAGTAGTAACTTCACCACAGGAGTCAGGTATGAGGTAGGTAAGCCTAAGAGGCTTTTGACTAAAATGTTTTAAGAGCTGTTTTATCTGCAATGTCTCTCCGAGGCTATATTTAACCAGGTAAAACCAGATTTGTTGCATGGGTTTCTCCTTTAGATATTCCTTTGATCCCCATTGTCTAATTTCCTAGCTGTCTGCTCAAAAAAAAACAAAAAAAACAACAGTGCTGTATTACAAAATAGCAGTTGTAGAAACTGATCATCCCCAAGAACTCCTGCACCGCTTTCACCGACATGGGACACGAAACCACACTTTCAGCGGAAATGTGGCACCCCAGGAAATCCAGAACGGGCAACCTGAACTGGCACTTGGAAGGTTTACAATCAGGCCGTGTGCCACCAAGCACTGAAAATCCTGATGCAGATGGGACGTGTGCTGACTCTCAGAACAGCTGGCCACCAATATTTCGTTAAGGTACATGAAGTCGAAAGGCAGGCCGCACAACACACAGTCCATCAACCGCTGAAAAGTCTAGGCAGCGCCTTTCGGGCCGAACGCCATGCGCTAAAACTCAAACAGGTCGAAAGGGGTAATTACAGCAGTTTTGGGAACGTCTTCGGCACAGGAACCTGGTGATACCCCTGCACCAAGTCAATTTTAGAAAAAAATCGAGGTGCTGGCAAGGTGTGTGGAAAATTCTTGGATATGGGGAATGGGGTAACGGTCGTTCTCCGTGACATTATTCAAATGGCAAAAATCCCCGCACAACCACCACCAACCATCTGATTTGGGCACCATGTGTAGCGGAGAGGCCCAGGCACTATTCGAGGACTCTACAATGCCGAGGCGCTCCATGGCCGCAAACTCCTCCCGAGCGACGGACAGTTTCGCAGGGTCGAGGCAGTGTGCATGCGCAAACACCATTGCCATGTTCGAGAAATTCGGAACAGTCAGTGAAGGAAACTCAAAAAACAAACGCTGAAAAACATTCCCCAAAGTCACTAAATTAGCCTGATTCAGGGGCTCAATGGCCCAAGTGAAACAGGGTATTGAAGAGAAGCACAGGGCATCGATTAAGCATCTGTTAGAGACATCGACCAGCAGTCCATGGGCACAAAGACAATCGTCGCCCAAAATAGGCACAGAGCTAGCGGCAACAACAAAGCTTCACTGGAAATCCCAGCATGAAAACAAACAGTCACCAACCTTTTCCTGAATGTTACAATGGGAAAGCCATTAGCTGCGATAAGCTGCGGCCCAAGGATAGCATGTGCTCCATCAGTTCGAGAGCCGTACCGCCACCCAGGCCTGAGATTCAGTCATCCACCCATTCACACACACATTAACACACTGGTGATGGCAAGCTACATTGTAGCCACAGCCGGCCTGGGGCACACTGACAGAGGCGAGGCTGCTGGACACTGGCGCCACCGGGCCCTCTGACCACCACTAGTAGGCAACGGATGAAGTGTCTTGCCCAAGGACACAACGACTGAGACTGTCGGAGCCGTGGCTCAAACCGGCAACCTTCCAATTACAAGACAAACTGCCAACTCTTGAGCCACGATCGCAAACACATAAACACAGACGGCACCAGAGCTCTCGATTAACACTTCCTTTATTGCTCATCACCACACAACTGAATACTTTTACCTTCAAAACACAGCAACAACACTTCCTGTAAACTGTGTGATTGGAGCCCTCCAGTGGTCCACCACAATGTCAAAGTAACAGGCAATGATCACTGAGACACCTGACTGCTTCCTTGTTCCTTGTGCATGGGGACAATAGTACCATATACAACTTCTCACAGGGGCAGGTTAAAGATCTTAGTCAACACAACTGCAAGTTGGTTCAGCACCTTAAAATGAGTCAGGCTCCTCCCAGGATATTTGTCTTCTTTAATACTATTCGTCAGCTCTCTTTGGGCATTACTGTAAGCCAACTTTGAGGCCTTGCCTTGCTTTCGAGCTATCATTTTTGGTCTTGGAATATGGATGATCTTGGTGGTTAAGACCATCAGTGTTCCCAAACCAAAAATTATGCCTCGACAACAAGGCGCGGCATCTGAGCTGTCAGTAGAGAAGGCTACACATGCCAGAATAGAAGAGCTGTGTTCTTCAAGAGCTGTACATACAACACTCAGTCTGTCTATTCAAATCAGTCCTGCTGCGGTAAAATGGATTCTTCTCTCCAGGCTTGGACAGTTTGTACAGCTGGCCATGGTCTATAGAGGTCTATATGATGGACTTAATTCAAGATGAGATGGTCAGGGAGGCTAGGGTGTCAAGATAGGACAGCTTTATATGCTGCTAGGATGCTGGTGTAAACCTGATCGTCATATTCTTTTCCCTTTTTCAGAAATGTAAATTGTTATACAGTTTGGGCATTACAGTCTTTCACTATGCCTAATTAAAGTCTCTTTCTACAATCACACCTACTTCTGGATATTTGCTCAGCCAGTTGTTAATGGTATCATGCACAGCTAACTTAGTATTAGCTTGTAGTGGAACATAAAGAGCTGTGATTAAGACCGCACAAAACTCTCTTGGTGGGTAGAATGGTCAGCATTTCAGTACCAGATATCCAATATCAGGAGTTCAGTGCATGGTGATAATGTCTGTAGATGTACACTGGTCATCATTAAAATATATGCGCACTCCTTTTCCTTTGCTCTTAATGGAGTCAGCCATTCTGTCTGATCACTAAACAGACGAGCCTGTGAGGTTATTTGAACTTCTGCTCACTGAATATCTCTTCTTTTTCAGCTGTAAAGTCAGTTAACCGTAGAGATAATTGTGTGGGAAAACCCCCAGTAATTCAGTAGTTCCTGAAACACCCAGACCAGCCCATCTAGCACCGACAACTGTGGCATGTTCAAGTCACTTATATTTCCTTTCTTCCCCATTCCAATGCTTGGTTTGAACTTTAGCCGGTGTCTTGACCATGTGTACCTAAATGCTTTGATTTGCTGCATTATGATTTGCTGAATAGATATTTAACTTAAGCAGCTGAACAGGTGTACCTAATGAAGTGGTGAGTGCAAGAGGCTTTCTTTATAATCCTCTCCATGAGTTTTTCACTTAATTTTTTTTTAGTTTTGGTATACTATTAGTACTTTTACTCAAGTAAAGATTCAAATTCAAATATTTTTGTATTAGTTTTTTTTTTTTTAAAGTAGGGCAGTAAAACATATATCTGTCACACTAGAAAGAACTGGAGGCCGGCTACGCAGAAGGCAGTGGTGGCGACGACCTTGTTTAGGCCCCCCCCCCCCGGATGGCGATGACATCCAGCTAAAGGCCTGGAAAGTGGCCGGCAAAGGCGAGGTGGTTCAAGCCGATCTGGATCGGACAGCGTTGTAGAGACAGCAGAGGCTGGACTAGACGGCGGCGTGACAGCTGCGGATGGTGACGCTATCGGTGATGGTGTGAAAGCTGCAGGCATTGGAGCAGGTGTTGGCACTGCTGGCAATGGCGAGGATGAAGACGCAGAGGCTGGACCAGGCAAGACTGATGCTGAAGCTGAAGCTGCAGGCGTGGATGATGCTGACGCTGAAGCTTGTTTGAAGATAAACATTTAATTTATACCACATTAAAGGATTCAAAGCATTTATTGTCATATGTACTAAGAAAGCATTTCTCTGTGCAATGGAATTCTTTCTTTGCTGTCCACACAAAAATGCCGGTTAATATAGGGAAATAGAAATGATAAATAAAAACAGTATAAATAAATAAAGACACAAATTTAAGCTTGAAATGGATGTGTGTTCAAAATATCTATGAGCTTAATGTGCTGGCTTAATGTGCCTGATGTGCACAAATTATTATTATAGTTAAAAATAGGTCAGCTGTCCAAGAGTCTGATAGCAGTGGGGAAGAAGGAATTGTTGAGTCGGAATGTTCTGGATTTCACACTTCTAAACCTTTGTCTCAAGGGCAGAAGAGTGAACAGTCTATGTTGGGGGTGTGTGAAGTCTTTGAGAATGGAGGCAGCTCTCCTTTGGACTCTGTGATGGTAGATGCTTTGCAGAGAGGGCAGCGGGGTCCCGATGATCTTCTCCACAGTTGTTATCACTCTCTGCAGGCATTTGCGGTCCATAGCAGTAGTGCTGCCGTACCATGCAGTGATGCAGCTGGTCAATGTGCTGTCCACAATGCAGCTGTAGAACCTGCTGAGGATCTTGCCCGACGAACCAAATTTCCTCAGCCTCCTCAGGAAGTACAGCCGCTGTTGAGCCTTCTTGACCAGCTGTGTGGTGTTCAGTGACCAGGTGAGGTCCTCAGTGATGTAGACACCCAGGTATCTAAAGCTGCTTCTGCGAACTTCAATATGGTGTTGTCCTTGTTGGATGTGACACAGTCATGGGTGTACAGGGTGTAGAGAATGGGACTGAAGACGCAACCCTGTGGAACGCCTGTGTTTGTAATAATGCTGGCTGAAGTCCTGGTGCCGATCCTGGCGGACTGGGGCCTGCCAGTCAAAAAGTCCTGTAGCCAGTCACAGAGGGTGGGTGTGGGTCGATTGTTGCCAGCTTGTGAGTGAGTTTGTTAGGGATGAATGTATTGAAATTGGAGCTGTAATCAACATGGATGAGTCTTTGTTTTCCAGATGGGAGAGGGAATAGTGAAGGGCAGCAGCGATGGCATCTGGCGTGGACCCTTTGGCCCGGTAGGCATACTGCAGGGGATCCAGAGTGTCTGGGATGTTTCTCTGGATGTAGGCCAGCACCACTCTCTCAAAGCATTTTGCAATGATTGGAGTGAGTTCAACTGGTTTGTAGTCATTTAGGCAGGTGGCTGGGCTTTTCTTGGGGAGACGGATTGAGGGTTGTGGTAATGAAGCATGTATGGGCCACCTCTGGCAAACCAGATCTGGGCCACCAAAGGGCCGTCATTCTTTGCGGTATGTGGGCCATGAGTAAGCACATTGTGTGGACCAGATCCGGGCCATACCAATTTTGCTATGTGGGGTTGTACTGTAGACATGACCCAGGGTGTTCTTGTCATGGGTAGGAATGGCCACATGTTGGTGATGTTTTGGGTGTCCAGTCCATAAGTTGCACTTATTAAAGTCACCAGTGACGATAAAAAAAAGCGTCTAAATGAGTTGTCTCTAATGCGCTGATGACGTCATGGAGTTTGCCGAGCGCTGCTGCGGAGCTAGCTTGTGGCTGAATGTAAACAATAGCCAAAAACACAGCTGAGAATTCCCGCGGCAGATAGTAGGGGCAGGGTTTTAGGAATATAAACTCTACGTCTGGCAAACTCTCCTTTTAATTCATTCAAGAAAGAACAAACATACACATATCAGGTATAACATTATGACCACTGACAGGTGAAGTGAATAACATTGGATTGTTTCTTCATTACAGCATCTGTTAGTGGGTTAGATATATTATGGAGCAAGTGAACATTTTGTCAAGCCTAAGATTTGAGCTTGTTTGAGAAGGACCAAATTATGATAGTTTGACGACTGGGTAAGAGCATCTCCAGAACTGAAGCTCTTGTGGGGTGTTCCCGGTCTCCATTGGTCATTATCTGCAATGCATTGTCTCATAGTTACCATTTAACAATATACACCTGAGACTAAAGTCCCACACACCAACACAAATCCTGATCCTAATGAGGATTAGTAGTAAGGATTTAGGTATGAACACAAGTTGAAAACACAGAGCGAAAATGAAAACCAGCACAAAGAGACATTTTAAACCAATCACCACAGTGATTCTACTGTAGCAACATGAACACATAGAAATGGATGCTGCCTGCTCATCAGTTTGTTACCTGTTGAAGTTCAGGATTTGGCTAAAACACTGAAAGAATGAACAATTACAAGGAATTGAAGTACTCTTTAAGAACCGAATACACTGAATACAAACAGGTGATAAAAAAAATTTCTAAAAGTTATTGTCTTACATATACACCCACAGGCCATTTTATAAGGTACACCTGTTCAACTACTTGTTAATGCAAACATCTGATCAGCCAATCATTTTTCACCAACTCTAGGCATTTAGGCATGTAAACATGGTCAAGATGACCTGCTGAATTCAAAGCAAGTATCAGAATGGGGTAGAAAGATTATTTAAATTACGTTGAACATGACATGGTTGTTTATCTGAGTATTTCAAAAACTGCTAATCCAACAGGTTTCCCACTCAACCATCTCTATGGTTAGCCAAAAGGGTTCCCAACACTGTCCGGAAAAGAGTTAACTGATGAACTAATGAAATGGCTGGTGAGTGTATATGTGTATTTCTTATATATAGTCACTAAGCCTTTAGATACAAAAATATAACAGAATACATGATCAAATTCAAATATGTAACAAATCTGTGTCAGTAAATCATCAACATAATGTTAAAAGGCACCACCAACAAATATGCCCTACAGAATTGCAGAAAGATGCTTACAAGTTTTCAAATGTTTTACATTTTAAAAAGTTTTCTTTATATTTATTGTGTCGTATTCTTTTGACCTTTAACCCTGACTCAACGAGTCAGTGATTCCAGAATAATAGAACAATAAATCTGCAAGATAATGATGATTTGAAGAATACCAAACAGTCTGCAAGCTTACAGCTATACCACTCTGAGCAAGCCCGACTGGTGAATCTAAATTGTCCACAGGTGTGAATGTGAGTGGTTGTTTCTATGTGTTAGCACTGCATCTGGGTGGTGACCTGTACGGGGTGTACCCTGTCGTAGCACACCCCACGGCCCTGATGAGGATAAGCAGAAGAGAATGGATGAATGGATAAACAGTCTGTAGTGGCTTTGCAAGCATCCTCCTGCGAACCAGTCAATCCATCTACTTAAAGATGCAGAATGCTGTCAATTCCTAAAATTGTTGAAATCAACTAAATATTATCAGTTTTGGGGATTTTTACATCAACAGTGTGGACCAAACACATTACAATTTGTTGGAAATTACAAATTTTAAGACACAAACTAATTGAATGAATCAGAAAATAATGTGCTTATTATCCATTACTTAAAATGTTAGTGGCAGTCCTAAAAATGCACAGACTTTCATATTTATTCCACTTTGTGCTGCAATTCTAAACATTATGTTGCCTTCTTAATAATTGTGAATTATTTTATTAGTGATGTTGGCAAGCTTGAAATTCTCTTTAGGGTGTTAGAGGAATTTAGGTTGTTCTGAAGTATGTTTTGCTGTGGGTTCGAGACTGGGGAGAGAGAGTTTGAGGAATCACTAGGCTGCCTGGTGGAACTCCAATCAGTGATTGAGTCTGAAAATTGGGAATTTGGGAATGACTCCAAAGATAAAGATAAAGTAGGGTTTTGAATTCCCTTAGATGACAGCTCATCCTCACTGCCTTTGTGATCCATGGAATAATTCCTAATATCCCGGCGGAATGATTTCTCTGTGTTTGCTTCCTTCTTACACAGAATAATGTAGCACTTTGTGAAGAACTGACAAAACAAGATGCCGTAGGCTGAGATGAGGATAACAACCATCTCCACTGCTGGAATGTACTTGCCTGTGACATTGGCATAGACTGGACCAAACATGATCCAGGAGATGAAGTAAATGAGCATTGCAAAAGTGATGAACTTTGCATCATTGTAACAGTCAGGCAACTTTCGTCCCTTAAAAGCAACACCAAAGCAGATGAGAGCCAAAAGGCCAATATAGACTAACATGGCTCCAAATGCAGGAATTAATTTCTCATTACAAAACATCAGTTTCATGTTGTTCTGTGTGATCTCTGAGTCAGCAATTGGAGGACTGTGTATAAGCCACGTTGTAACAATAACCACTTGACCTGCCATGCAGACTGCAATAATGAGGTAAGGCTTGTAGAGCTTCTTCAGCACACTTTGAATGACCGGGTCAAACTCAAAGGCTAAGACGATCTTAAAGGACTTGACCATGATGCAGGAGACACATAAGGTAAAACTTAAGCCAAACACCACCTGCCGTGCTTGACACTGATAGCTATTGGGTGGACCACCAAATAATATAACACTAGTAAATGTGATCATAAGGGAAAGGAGGAGATGGATGCTGATTGGGCCAACAGATGAGCGCACAACAGGGGTATTCCAGTGTGCAAGGAAGATGATCCCAACAACAATGGTAAGCACTGCTCCTAAAGAAGTAAAAGACAGCAGCACAATAAGATATACATCACCCCATTTCAGAAAATCTATTTTTCTTGGCAAACACTTTGAACTGCCTTTTAGGGAGTAATAGTTTTTTTCACAAGGATTACACTTCTCCGAATCTGAAAAGAAAGAAAACAAGATCATTAGAATATGTAAGTTGGATTCAAGCTCCTTGAACTGTCAATGCAATAGACTGCAATATAAGCATTTTAAAACACTTATTTTGGCTTTTATGTAATTTCACAGTTAACTGATACAAATGGAGTTTACTGGGTTTTTTTTATAATACATACCAGTGGTATTGGAAAAGGTGTTCTCAGCACAGGGTTCACACTGATAGCAGCAACGAGGCTGGCCCGAAACTGAAGTCTTACTGTAGCCAGGCTGACAGCTGTCTGTGCACCTGGAAGTCACGTTTCCCTGAGAGAAGAAAGAATCATGATTTTTCTTTTTTACAGTCTGTATAGTGTACTCTCTTTATTCTAACACACACGTTTTTATATGCTAACTGCTTCTTAAACAACACAAGAACAAGAAAAAAAGAAGGAAGGAAAGTAAAAAAGAAACCGAGGAGCTAATCCAGTACACACAGTCATTCAGTTTTCAAGAAAAACTCCTTAAATTGAGTATTGACATTGATAAATATATGACAAATAAAACAAACCTATGTTCTTGCTGATGATAATGGTAATTTTCAAATACTTAGGTTATCATTTTAGTATGCCAATATTAGCACAACTAAGTATGATCAGATTGCCTTTAATTTCATTCACAAAATCAGTAGAGAGACAAATTGTGACCTTTGACAGTGCAAGAGTTAATAATTTAACCCAAAGTCTGTATCAAATAACATGGTAATCAACAGTGATTTCTTTAAATATGAAATATCAATATCAGCATAGCATTAGAGTAATATTTAGTGAATCACCAGAATTGGTAAGATTCATCTTCTACACATCTTAAATATTTTTTTAAATATCAATTCAACATGGCTTATGAATGAACCACCAATGAGTCCAACAATATATTAATCCTGCCAACACTGACTGTAGATACTGTGAATATCTAAAAATAAAAACAATGAATGAATGGAAGAAGAATAAAACAATTTGACAGTGGAGGGCAAGTTATTACTTACAATGTAAATGTAGAAAGCATGTTTTGTTTCCTGCGAGATGAACGTCAGGCTATTTTGCAATATACTGTAGCGAGCTACAATGTCATTTACGTCTAGAGACTCTGAAGTCTGCTTCCATAGGACGATATCGTATTCAGTGTTGAGGTCACCATGGGGATCAAATGAATAGTTTTTCCCATCCATGTGGAACTTTGCCTTCCATAGGGCCCCTCGTAACTGAAATTGCAGTGTGTGTGAAAATATTGATTAAAAATAATGTATCTAAAGTGGACAGGACAAAACATCATACACACAGATTAGGTACAACATTATGACCAGAGACATGTCTTTTCATCATAGGACCTATTAGTAGGTGGGATGTATTAGGGAGCATGTGAATATTTTGTCCTCAAAGTTGATGTATTAAAAGCAAGAAAAATTGGCTAACCGACTGGGTCAGAAAATCTCCAAAACGTCAGCTCTTGTGGGTTTTTCGTGGTCTGCAGTAGTCAGTATCTATCAAAAGTAGTCCAACAATAGAACCAGTGACATGATCATGAGTGGCCAAGGCTGACTGATACACATGGGGAGTGAAGGCTGGTAGAACTACTATATATACCCCATTTCTCCTGCAATCTTTTTTTTTTTCTCGAAGCTCCAGCTTGAGAGTTCTGTGGAGGGAGCTTTAGGGTTCTTGAGGTTTCTGTGCAATATCTTTGCTGTTTCTAGGACTGCATTTCTCTGGACAGAGATCTCAGATGTTGTTCCTGGAATCTGCCAAAGCCACTCACCCAGTGTGGAGGTCACTGGCCCAGCTGAGAGAGGAGCTATATCTCCTAAAGCTTCGTTGATATTATTGCTGTAGATCAAGTGGTGTGGATCAGTGAACTGATGTCTCGTTCACTACTGGCATACAGCTTGATGTTATCCATGTAGAAGAGGTGGCTATTGACTACTCCATTCCATAGTTGGAATCCATAGCCAGTCTTTTTAATGATCTCACTGAGGGGGTTCAGGCCCATGCAGAACAGCAGTGGAGACTTGATGAAAACTTGTGCTATTGGCTTGAAGTTGGTCTCTAGTGTTGTTTCCCCCATCCACATTGTATTCCTGATGAAGGTCTTACTTCATCAGGTCTTAATCCAGACTTTTCAGGATCCATGGCATGGCATCCAGGCAGTGCACAGCTTGGTGAGTATGGTCTTGTCTTATTGGCTGGTAGTTGCATGGGACAGGTCCCTTCTACTGTCCAAGCCTTCGTTTAGCCATTCCAGGTGTCTCTCGTCCATTGACAGCTGGTTCATTTATGCTGCCAGATGCTCGTGAAGTGCAGTCAGCTTCTTTAGCCAGTAGGCATGAATCATGTCAGGCCCTGGTGCTGTTCAACTCTTCATACTAGGGACCCTTTTTTTAGATGTCTGCATCTGTGATGGTCACTGGATCCTGTTCAGGGAGATGTGGTTTGCTCTTAAATCAACTAGCCACTGAGCCTTTTTTGGGTTGTGACCTTCCATTTGCTTTATTGACAAGGCTGTGAGTCTTCGCCTTTAAGTTTTTAAGGCCTCAGGTATGCACAGCTTGCTGCAATTTTAGGCACCCCTTTCTTCATTATCACCTTTCTGCAGTCCTGCATCTTGGCCTCTAGTCTCCTTCTCCATGGAGGGTACTGCTCCTTGTGCTGTTCATCTTCCACC